TTCTTCCTTGTTCACAGATGTCTGGTTAAAGATTTTGAAAAGCGACCCACAGCCCAGCGGCTTCTCAATCACCCATTTATAAAGAAAGTTCCGAAAGATACAAATCCACTTCGGCTTCAGTTAATTGAAATGATGGCTGTCCATCAACAATTAGGCGGTATCCAGCAAGCACCTGAAGTTACAACAAAGTAAGTGAGACTCTATTTTTTAATCCATTTAGTTTTTGATTCCAGAATTTGAGACACCATTAGAAGGATTCTGTTCAATCTGCCTTGAAGAACTCTGCGTAACATTCACTGCTACATTATTTCATTAATTTTCCTGCCGTAATTTAAAAACATTTGATGATTGAAATTATAGAGGTTTCTATGATATGCGATAAAGATCTTTACTTTAGTATTGTCATGAAAATCATGTTTTGATTTTGATTTTCTCTTGTTTTTCCAAAAATTGTGAACTTTGAAAACAATGTACATGAAACAGTGTGACATGTGTGATGACTTGAAACATAAATACTGTAAAATACATTATTTTAGCTGGAATCAATTTTCGCTGAAAAGACTTTTGGGGTGTTTTGTATGGAATTTATTTTCACCAATTTTTCATGAGTTGAATGTAAAATATAGAAAAATAGGTAAAGTCGCTGGATTTTTTTCCACTAATTCATTCCTTGAGCAAAAATTAAATCCAAGCGAAAATAAAGTATTTTACAGTATTTTTATGGGCTTTAATGATCTCTTTGCAGAGGGGAAAAGAAAGTAGAAAATAAACATTGTAAGGACCAGGGCATTGTAAACTACTTGTGAGATTTTGAGTCAGAAAAATTGTGAAAATATTGTAGTTGTCAACATTCCATTGGGGTCCACAAATGCCATTAAAATTTGCCACTCAGTCCTTTGAGTGACTATAAAGGTATAGTCAGAATAAGTGTCAATTAAAATCAGGAATCGAGTCATATGAAGTAACAATTGTCATTTGTATTCTAGACGTGGTAAGCTGAATAGACCGGCTGCAAGGAAATCCCGAAGGACAAGATTTCCCATCATGGATGATCTAGCTCAGCTTGAACATCTTGATGAAGTTAGTAATTTACGGTTGCTTAGCAACTGCCTCCTTTGCAAATAATCATCCTCTCCACAGGGTATTTTCCATTATGGAACTGCCAATTTTTTTCGTTTTCGTAAAAAATACAATTACTATTTTCAAGATGTCTTTGATGAGTTTTTCAGTAGTTCGCGACAATCTTGTGTCTGTTTTCAATAATATTTGCTCAATTGCCACTTGGTTTCACTTTTGTAAACTTCACAGTACATATTTTTTTCCAGGATGTCTTAGTAAAACATCTGTACGAGCGATACCAATTTGGACAGGTTTACACATATGTTGGAGATATCATGATTGCTGTAAATCCATTTACGCAACTCAATATATATGATGACAGGGTAAGTTGGTTAAATCTGGTTTGAACCACTTGGAACTGGATGATACTGGTTCACCATCTATTATTTTTAGTTTGAAAAACTAGTTTCAACCGGTTTTATTAGAGTACCACAGTTGTTGCATGCTAATTTAAACAAACAATGCATATTGTACGCATGTGACCAATTTTATTTCATGATGAACAAATTTTCACTAGTCAGTGAAAATTGCAAAATTTTTAAAATTTCTTTTGATTCATATGATGCAGAGCTTCGTGAAATTTTGTCTTCATGAATGCTGTAAAATCTTAAAATCATGAAAACGGATTACAGAATATAACTAATTGTGCCCAAACTAACTCAATATGCTGTCAAGACTAATATATTAAATTCTAATCCGTTGTTATACTGTAAAATTCCTAATTGAGGCCGCGGCTTTAATTAAAATTCAAATGCATGTGAAGTCTTGGTGCGGCTTTAATTAGAGCATTCACTTCGGTCACACTGGGAAATTTTATCAGAAAACAAAGGCCTGAAAGGATAATGATATGCTAATGAGATGCATTACACTTGATTGTCATTTTGTTGCAATTCTAAGCGTACTATCAGATTTTCACACACAGACAAACTTGTACACAAACGAAAATTTCACACTGTATAACATAAATAATATCTACAAATATTGTATGCAATTGCAGATTATGGTACCGTATAATCTCTTGAATAGACATCACTTTAATTCGTTAGTATCGGTACCTTTCATGCTCTATTTTATAATCAATCAAAAAAAAACTGTTCACATGATAACAAAAAAATACATGGTATATTTAATGTAATATTTATTTATTTTCTTAATTTTGTTGATAACAAAATATACTAAAAGAAATAAAAATAAACACAAATGCATCGCTTAGTAGCAAATGATTACGGTAACAGTATCGCAATCCGACCGGTCATTATTTCAAAGTGTTACAATTGATAATTATTACTCAGTTGTGATTACAGTAGTGTAAAAAATAAAATTCGTTGAATTGTTGTGAAAATTCAACTTAGTTTCACCTCAAGCAAATGATTTCGGTCACATGTAAACGCTCGATCTGATAAGATATCCGCCATGTTTGTCCAAGCACATTAGTGCCTTGATACTGTTCTGTGAGCTGATAGGTCAAGTCGCTAATTAACCAATCAAAATGCTGGATGGTGTTTGACGTGTTTGAATTACCATATCTCATTTAAATATGTTAATGTAGTTCAGCGACTTCATGGTGAACGCAACACGGAAGAGATTTACCGTTGTTGTAGTGCGATCGTTTGGCTTTGATTTTGATGGGAAAACAAACATTAGTTGTTTTCGAAAAATAAGCTGAGCATTGAAGAAGAATTTAACACTTTTTACAATATTAACAGCTCATTGTCGAAACGCATCAATAACTACGGGAAACCTAAATTAAACTCTAATCTAGGCGTCAGGAAAGATTGAAATGTTCGAAAAATTATGCCTTAATTTAAAATTAAATGGTATATCTTTTCCTGTAATATGTGGTGGCTGTTTGGTTTGTGAAAGTTTGGGGTGCGGCTTATATCGCAGACTTTTCAATTTCAACATGAAACAATGTCTCAAGTTAGGGGTGTGGCTTCTATTAAAGCTGCGGCCTTAAATATGAATTTTACAGTAACATTTTTATTCATATTTTCCAGCATTCATTGCGGTACAATCACGCTGACAAAGGGGACAATCCTCCTCATATATTTGGTGTCGCTGACTCCACTTACCAAGCCATGCTACACTATACCCAAGACCAGGTAAACTTTTGTCTTGATATTTTAATTTGATTTCAGTAATAGTTTGCTGCGTTGCTCATAATAGAAAAAATTATACAATATCCGTATATCAGAGATTGGCTTTTTTAAATTTGCCTAAAAATTAAATGTGTTTTTTGTGTTGTCATTCAGATATTTACAAATACTTATACTGCTACAAAATTCATGATTTTTCAAACTCAAAATTAAAGCAGTTTATGGGTTTTTTTCGTCATATGATAGATTCAAGATAATACTGTAGAATACTTTATTTTAGATGGAATTAATTTTCACTGAAAAGGCTTTTTGGGTGTTTTGTTTGGAATTTATTTTCACTGATTTTTTGATGAGTTGAATGTGAAATATAGGAAAAAAAGAATATTCACTGGATTTTATTTTCACTGAAGCTTCCCTTCAGCAAAAATAAATTCCAAGAGAAAATAAAATATTCTACAGTACTGTAAATCACAATACTAGTATTAAGTATTCACAAATTTCGTAATTCTAGAATGTCACGGAAGTTTGTATTAGTAAAGTTTTCACTTTGGTTCTTAATTCATTCACCTAAAATTGAGTCCTCACACATGCCCTTAAATTAATATTATTTATACTGTAAAATTAATATTATTTATTTAACAATTTGCAGTTACATCTCATTGAGGACAAGGTTTCTATACTTTACCTATGTTTTTTCGCAGTGTCTTGTTATCAGTGGTGAGTCCGGTGCTGGAAAGACTGAGAGTGCTAACTTATTGGTAACACAACTTACCAAGCTTGGGAAGGTAAGTATGCATGGTCCAGGGCCATTTATATGAAATGTTTACATGCATGTTTCTATTAATATAAACCACATCTGGTCAATTTGTTTTCCAAAATCATATTTTTATTATAACTTGGCAAACATTGGATTTCCACAGATAATTCTTTTTAAACATGTCTGCTTCTGATGTATACAGGCATTAAATAGAAGTCTAGAAGAAAAAGTACTACAAGTTAATCCACTGATGGAAGCGTTTGGCAATGCCAGGACTGTCATCAATGACAACTCCAGTCGATTTGGCAAATATTTAGAGTTGAAATTTACCCCTATGGGTCATGTGATCGGAGCCGAGATCTCTCAGTATCTGCTGGAAAAGTCCAGAGTCATTTTCCAAGCCAAGTAGGTTCCTTTGTTTTTGTTTGTTTTGTTTTGTTTATACTTCAATGATCACTTGCAATCTTTAATAGTGATGTGAAAGAGTAGTAACATTTACTTTTTTGAAAGAAAAAAAAATATTAATATTAAATTATTTTGCAGACTTTTCTCAAGAACACTTTTAATCTATTTACTTCGTAACAAGCAGTGTATAAATTTAGAAGACATTATGAAAAAATGTTTTCTGTAAAAAAAATTTAGCTGGAATTATTAATTTTTGCTGATTTTTGATGAGTTCAATGTAAAATATAGGAAAAAAGGTATATTCGCTGGATTTTATTTTCACTGAATCACTCCTTCAGTGAAAATAGCGAAAATTAATTCCAAGGGAAAATAAAGTATTCTACAATATTGTCTTTGTGTTTTTCCACAACACAAAATAATACCGGGTTCTGCCGTAAATTCGCCCATCCGAAAAATTGTCTTAGGCGGTTTCACGGCTGGTGGGCCCTTATTTGGGGTTCAAATTTTCAAAAAATTATCATCAAATATTTTTAGAGGGGCTTATATTTTCATTGAAAAATCCACCTACGTCGATTTTCAACGCCGGAAGTTAGACCACCCAAAATGAAAGAAACTATTGAAGAAGCTAATCTAAAATTTTATACATTTTTTTCTTACTGGATTAAAAAGTAGACAGCGCAATTTTCTCCAAAAAAGTAACATTAACGAACCTCGTGCGCCAAATACAATTACTTTGTTTCATTTTATTAGTAACGAAAGTATATTCTAAAAGAAGTTTCAAATAAAAACGAACCCAACTGCATTGCTTAGTAGCAAATGATCGCGGTATCGCAATCCGGCCATGCTGCGTTTTACAATTGTTGATTATTACCTAGTAATAATTATAATAACATTCAAAAAATAAATTCGTTGAATTGTTATGAAATGGAAATAAATTTCAAATTATTTCATCGTAAGCGAATGATCCTGATCGCATTTTCAGCGCTCGATGCTGTGAAAATGAATATCCGCCATGTTTGACCTGAGACGGTGTTCTTTGACCTGACAGGTTAAATCGATAATTAACCAATGAAAACGATGGATGATGCCAACGTGTTTAAATTGCCATAGATCATTTAAATATGTTAATGTTATTGAACGCAGTACGGAAAAGATTTGCCGATGTTGTTGTACGATCTTTTGGCTTGGATTTCGATGGGAAAGCGGCAAGATTTGTTCTTAAATAAAAAAATTAGTTGTTTTCAAAAGATAAACTGAGCATTTGAGGAATAATTTAACATTATTTACAGCGATAACAGCTCATTGTCGAAACGAAGCTTATCATTCACGCTAGTCGTAATAAACATCAATACTCTTGAATAGGTGTCAGTGACTACGGCGAAACTTTTAGGCATCAGAAAAGATTAAAATAACACCTTAAAAAACTGCTGAAAAATCGCCCTGGGCGGTTATTTGGTCCCATTTTATTTTTCTAAAAACTCAAACTGCCATTTAACGGCCCTGGGCGAATTTATGGCAGAATTCGGTAGTGTTTAAAATCACTTTGATTGTTTCCATGATATTTTTACTCAACAGGGGTGAAAGAAACTTCCATATATTTTACTATGTATTAGCCGGATTATCAAGCGATGATGACAATGCCAATGTATATCACTTCAAAAATAAGACTGTGTACAGGTATTGGTTAAATATTGTAATTATCTATGCATAGCGCCATCTTGTGATGATATAACTGTAAACTTTTGTTTTCATTACAACTTGGGTGCATTTAGTTTTTGCTATTGATAATTTTTCCTTCTTTAGAAATGTTAACTAAATTGCGCCATCATGTGGTGATAATACGTTCAACTTTTGTTTTTATTGCACATGCATTTTAGATGTCATGAAATCCTGTCTATTCTGCAGAGATACTGTACTGAACTTTTGTTTGTTCAATTGATCCATATTTAGTTATTGATCTTGTTTTCAATTTTTTGGAAATAATTATGGAAAAACGATATTTTCTGTTTTGAAATCGGAAAGAAGGTATAACAGTTGAAAAATGTCTGTCCATGTTGTTGTTGTTGTTGTTGTTAACAATTATTGTTGCAATAACTCCAAAAGTTTTTATCTGTTCATTTCTCAATTCATATGTATCGGTATAAATTCTTGCAAAACATTTTATTTTGGGATGTCATTTAATTTATTTTTATTTCTTCCTGTAGATATCTGAAAGGAGGTGGCAACTTGACCTACAAGGATGTTGCTAATATGTCAATCAATAAGGTCAAGTTCAAGGTCATTAATAAGTGCCTGGAGACCATTGGCTTTACATCAGAGGTATGTTAATTTGAATTAATCATGCAGAAATACATTTTTATTTTAATATAACTATGAATGAAGATAGAAAGATTATTTTTCTGTGTCATAGTGTATATATCCAAGACAGTCAAGTTTTGTTTCAGAAATCAAAATACTGAGGTTTGAAATTCCAACTTGTTTCAATTACCCCAAGTTTCATCTTCACATTATCAAATTAACAGTCAGAATTTTTTTTTTTGAAAAGTGTTTATCTTAAAAGTAGTATTGTGGTTTTAATTAAATCCAGCTTAACTAAAGTAACTTGTAATCTATAAATATGTTTTTTGGAGGGAAATTACAAATTAAACATAATAATTAATAATAATAATTTCTAATTTTTTTATTGGATATTGCATTATTAAGAACTATACATTTGAGAGTAAAATTTAGCCAACATGTCAGTGTTATGGATGTGATTGATTTTGTTAGATGTACTTGAAAAATGAGATATTTGAATGCTGGATGTTGCAATGATGTTGTGTGTTCCATGTAGAATCACGTCACTGAATATAAGCAATTGCTCTGATATGATTCACTTAATCTTGCTGAGATTCTGATTGGTACCTCTCATGGTTAAGACTACAAACAGGAGAGATATCTACCAGTTGATACATTTACTGCTCCAGTTTGTTTTGTCAATCCATGTTTGTACTGACAGTATATCTGGGTTCTTCTTTCAGGAAATTCATCAGATGTATTGCCTCTTATCAGGAATTCTTCACATCGGTGAGGTGACTTTTGAAAGTTTAGAAATGAAACATATGTCAGATACCAGTAAAATTGCAGATTCTAAAAGAACGAAACGAGGTAAGCACACTGCCATCTAGTGGTGAGATTTAGTTTTACTTTGTTTTTAAGTTCAAACCTTTTCCTAGTATTTTTAGCTCCGCTGTCTACTTTGTCGAGTGGAGCTTATCATATGAGTGATTGTCCGTCGTCGTCGTCCGTGTCAATGTTTTACTTTTTCGACTTCTTCTTGAAAACTACAAGCCTGAATGCTTTGATACTTGGTGTATATGTACCTTGGGTAGACCTCTCTTAGGTTTGTTCATTTCATGTTGATATCTTCAATTCTCTATTTTTGGTGAATATTTTGGTCATTTTTGGTAAAAAGTGATATTTTCGACTTCTTGTTAAAAAACGCAAGTCCGATTGCTTTGATATTACATATATAGGTACTACATGTGGATATCTCACAGATTTGTTCATTTTGTGATGATATCTTCAATTCTCTAATTTTGGTGAATATTTTTGTAATTTTTGGTAAAAAGTGATATTTTCGACTTCTTGTTAAAAACCAATAGTTCAATTGCTTTGATATTACATATAAAGATACTACATGTAGACCTTTCTCAGATTTGTTCATTTTGTGATGATATCTTTCAGTTCTCTAATTTTGGTGAATATTTTTGTCATTTTTGGTAAAAAGTGATATTTTAGACTTCTTGTTGAAAACTGTAAGTCCGATTGCTTTGATATTACATATATAGGTACTACATGTGGACCTCTCTAAGATTTGTTCGTTTTGTGATGATATCTTCAATTCTCTAATTAATTTATTTTGGTGAATATTTTTGTAATTTTTGGTAAAAACTGTAAGTCCAATTGCTTTGATACTATTCATATTGTTCATTTTCTAATGATGTCTTCAGTTCTTTAATTGAAATGTGCATTGCTAACAGCGGAGCTATCTCAGCCGATAGGCTGCTTGTTCTCTAATTTTGGTGAATATTTTTGGTAAAAAGTGATATTTTCGACTTCTTGTTAAAAACCGCAATTGCTTTGATATTACA